TATGGAATTGAACGACAGCAGACGATGTAACTATGCAAAGCTGCACCATATATAAATAAATCCCCCTTCAACAATATTCTCTGATTGAAAATACCCAATGGTACATGAATTCTACTCCTTTACACTACATCAGTCAATGTGTATTGCTTACTTCCCACGTAGTCCTAATCCTAATCCGTATACTCCCACGTGACCCGGCTAAACATTGTTCCTCTTTCAGGCCACCTAATGTAGATCTAGAATAATGAAGCCGCGGAGTCAACACGTCCAATCTCCAATTCTTATCTCTCTGGCATAATTTCGGCGGAGGAGAACACCTGTTTTACCAGCGATTGCATACTCCATGTCGAATAATTAGACATCAGCTCGACGAAGCTTCATAACTCGGTCTACACAAGCACAAAAGCTCCACATCCCCTCCGAGCGCACGAGCAGCTGCTCGCGCAGCTTCCCACTGCTAAAATGCAATTACTACGACTCCTAGTCGCGGTAGCCGTGGTGCTATTCTCCGTTGTCGTAATCGCCGCCGAGGATTACTACAAAGTGCTTGGACTCGCGAAATCCGCGTCGGAGAGGGACATCAAGCGCGCGTACAGGACACTAAGCAAGAAATACCACCCTGACAAGAACCCGTGAGTGCACCTACTATTGTCTTATTTGTGTCTCTCCGTGCCTTTTAATTCCTCTACCGTGGCTCCGCATATGGTACATTTTACACCCACACACAAGGCAATTGCTAACCCACCTAGGGGCGATGATACGGCGCGCGAGAAATTTGTCGAAATAGCAGACGCCTACGATGTGCTCTCGACCAGCACGCTACGCAAAGTGTACGACCAATACGGACACGACGGGGTAGAGCAGCACCGCAAGGGCGAAGCGGCCGGCGGCAGCCACGACCCATTTGACCTGTTCTCGCGATTCTTCGGTGGGGGCGGACATTCAGGCCACGCACCTGGACACCGTCGTGGACCAGATATGGAAGTGCGGGCGGCGCTGCCGTTGCGAGATTTCTACAATGGGCGCGAGATCAACTTCCTCGTTGAGAAGCAGCAGATCTGTGATTCGTGTGAGGGGACGGGATCTAAGGATCGACAGGTTGTGACTTGTGATCGGTGCTCTGGGCGTGGTATGGTTATTCAGAAACATATGCTTGCGCCGGGGATGTTCCAGCAGGTGCAGATGCAGTGTGATAAGTGTCACGGACAGGGGAAGAAGATTAAGAATCCTTGTCCTGTTTGTTCAGGGAGTCGGGTTGTCAGGAATCAGGTCGAGACTAGTGCTACTATTGAGCCGGGGATGGGGAAGGGGACTAGGCTTGTGTTTGAGAATGAGGCTGATGAGAGTCCGGACTGGATTGCCGGGGATCTGATTGTTGTTTTGGATGAGAAGGAGCCTGAGCTTGGGACGTCGGAGGAGGAGAAGACGGATGGGACATTCTTCCGGCGGAAGGGGAAGGATCTTTTCTGGAAGGAGACTCTTTCGCTGCGCGAGGCGTGGATGGGTGGCTGGAGTCGCAATCTTACGCACCTTGATGGTCATATTGTTCGTCTTGGACGTGGGCGTGGTGAGGTCGTGCAGCCGTTGGCTGTTGAGACTGTTGCCGGGGAGGGTATGCCGCATTACTCCGAGGGTCATTTGCATGATCACCGTAATGAGAATGATGAGGTGGGCAATCTATTTGTTGAGTATACTGTTGTTCTGCCGGATCAGATGGAGAGCGGGATGGAGAAGGACTTCCATGCTCTTTGGGAGAAGTGGCGCAAGAAGATTGGAGTTGATTTGGCGAAGGATTCTGGACGACCGGTTGTCTCTCCGCCGGCGGAGGATAAGGATGAGTTGTGATGATTACTTTTCTAAGCCTTGTTATTTTTGACTCCCTTTTTTTCCTTTTTCATGGTCCTTGTACATTGATTGCATCTGTTGATTTGCGTGCATTTTAAGGCTATGTACTGGGATTAGATTAGACGGCTTGTATTAAAATATTGGATACGATATACAATAGACACCTGAATCTTACAAGGTAGGGGTCTGCTTTTCGATTAGAACTGGAGACAGTCGCAATTGGGCCGGCAATTGCATTCGAACTTTGTCGGCATATAATAAAGCCCTAAAGCCCCTCGGAGTTCTCCGTACACTCCTTCAGGTAGCTTTAATCGACACACGTGGGGCCAGGATACTGCTAATGCCAGATGTAGATCGATCTGGAAGATACATTGAAGTCTGTATCCGTTGCACCAGACTCCAGATTCTGATTCTACCTAACACTGTTTGGTCCCGATGCATACATCTCACATGATGAGTTTTGTGGTGCAGGATGTAAACAAGGAAACAGGGCGTACAGGGCGTCGATCTCGGCAATGGTCTAACTGGAATAGGACTTAGAGGGTGGCAGGGGGGAAGGTGGTCTAGGACAGGGATTGGATGCTGCAGCGAATAAGCTTGCTTTACCTTGAACTACACGCATAACTTCCTTGGCCGTCATTTCGTATTCGTGTTCGATGTGATATCAAATTGTCGGATGTCGGTCGTTTGAAGGTTCAGATTCTCTCTCCATGTGCAAACAGTGTAGAGGCATCCACTTCGCGGGTACTGGATCTGTTTGGATTTTATGGTTGGGCCTTCCTGGTTATTGCAATCGAATTTGGTTTATTTTGAAGGATTTAGTCTATAGTGCACTATGTATGCCATGAGCTTCGTTTTATTGCTTGGATGTCTTCAAGCGATATTGAGATAGAAAAGTATAACAGGAACACACATTGTTCTTTACTAACACAATAGATCTCAGATTCCTGCTCTACGGAAACGCGCCAACCCAAACGCGGGGGATGGGAATGTATAGAGTGCAATCAACTTCTCAAGGTTTCACCCATCAAGTCAAACTGAAACGATTAAAATTTCTCCACAAACCCTCTCCCACACTGTGCAAAGGAAATATTCCCAAAAATAAGCTACAAACCGTGGGATTTCAACCTATCGGATGGGGCCGTCAACTTACAATATAGGCAAGGATAGACATGGCCATCTCGCACGAATTACTCCGAGGATCTACAAGCCTTGCAGCTAGACTAGATTAGACTACAGAAAGTTCGTACCGTCTGGTAGAGTCATTCTTCCAGCAAATGATTTACCGGGATGGCATCCCAAACTCTAGTCCTCGCCTCTATCTTAGCCGTATATATATAACCCCTATGCTAGATGTAGTATGCGTATCCACCACTTTCCATAATTTTGGGAAAACCTACTATACGAGCCTATGGCAGAGCAATGCAGACCGAATAGAAAAATTAGCCAATGCATACTGTCCGTTGAGGAGACCGCGCCTAGATGCAGCTATAAACAGACTTTAGGACAGGCTAAGGGCACGCAGATCCGGAATTTCAGCCGGCAGACGCGGGTTTCCTTCCGGGGCGATAGTGTCATGGTACGATAGGCACTGTGAGGTAGCGCATATGGAAGCAAGAAGCACTAATGACCATCCGTCTGATTAGGATTGGTCAACTACGTCGGCATATCATAACTTCGATAGAGTCATGTACGTCGTAGCATCTCTTGTCGTTGGGCTTCGTGTAGTGTGCATAGTGCATCGAAGAAAGCTAGGGGGATTTCTTTGACAGCTGCAGTTGTGGACCCTTTGGATCGTGGAATTAGATTCTCTAGCCATGCTGCTGGGTGTTCTCTCTGTCCTTAACCAAGAACGCCCCGGGAGATGAGGGGATTCAAACAGAAAGATCGGCCATAGTGGGTTGCGGTGTGGGATTGTGGTGGTTTGATTTCTTGTTTAGTACTTTGATGTTTAACATTTTTAAGAGTATTTGTTCCTAGCAGGGGTGTGTTATAGCTCTCTGAAGTCGAGGTAAATTGGATTAATCAACTTGCACTTATCTTGCTTTGTCGTTCAACAACTACTAGTAACCATGCAGCCTTGAATAAAGGAAGGAGCTCGATGGATTCTATAACGTATGCTATATGCTCATACTACCCCGGCGCTGATCTGCTGCAGAAATATCGGGAAAATATGCTGTAAGACGGCTGTTGTGTTCTTTAATATCCCATGGAAGTTTCTAGGGCAAACAGGCGAATGGGAAGTCTCATATCGATGTAGTCCTGGTATTATGGTAACCAATCGGCGGTGCATATTTAACGTTTTAGCGCAAAGAAAAAGCCTCAAACCCGAATTTGACAGCGATCGACGAACGTTGTGCTGCAGGCTATAGTAACGGCAATGCATGCCCCCGCAGGCCCAGTGTCTCGGATTTGATGGCTCCATCCAACCTTGGTTCAGTACGTATAGGGTTTGTATATATGTAGCCATCTACATTTGGAAATATCTACACACGCCTCATTCTTGGATAGGAAACGTATGGTATCCAAAAATTGCTGTTTTTTGGTTTCATTGAGAGAATATTTGTGAGACATTGACTCCACTTGCAAAATTATTACATGAATACATCATACTTTCCAAGATACGTCCATGTGTAGGCCAATCATACCTGTAGATTGTATAGATTTGCCGTTCTCCGTTGAAAGTACGTACGAAGTATATACAGGGATAAAAACCATGGAAGCCCTTGATATCCCAAATATCAACGAGCCTGCTATCCACTTTTTTAATGAACGTGATCGAAATAGGAAACTTGGGAAGATCAGTAGAATGCTCGTGCCCACCGCCAGACTGCCAACCTCGGGTTTCCAAGTGCTTTGAGTTCATTCGTGAAACCCGTTCCCCGAAGACTGACGTGCCTTTACTCGCATGGTTCAGCGTCGAGGTTTATACATGATGAGGGGCTACGCAGTGGTTTGCTATTAAGATCCTCATCTCATCTCGATCTCAATTATCTTATAATCTCAGTCTATCTTCACTTTATCCCAATCTTTACCCTTTCAGTGTCCATACCTTCTCCTTTATATTTCTCCTTGTACCTCCTTCTTCATATACTCTCCATCTCTTCTAGACCCAGACCTATTGCCATACAAGGATCCATTATTGTTATCGGAATATGCGTCCCCTCTCACCGGCAAGCGGCCCCGGCGGCGATGGAGCCATACCGTCTGATGCTCTGGAACCCATCGCTATCGTTGGCCTAGCCACCCGCTTTCCACAACAAGCAACAAGCACAGAGAGTTTATGGGAGCTTCTCCTACAGGCCCGCTCAACGTGGTCATCGATACCCAAAGAACGCTTCAACTCGGACGCCTTCTATCATCCGGACCCCGAGCATGGTGGAACAGTGAGTTATATCCGAGCCATGACAGACCAATATTGCCATAAAAAATAATCGTTTAACTGATATCCATCCGTAGTTTCATGTTCAAGGAGGACACTACCTTTCAGAAGACCCCGCCTACTTCGATGGGTCCTTCTTCAACGTAACCAAGAATGAGCTCTTGACATTGGATCCGCAGCAGCGGCTAGTACTGGAAAATGTCTACCATGCTTTGGAAAATGCAGGAATTCCATTGACCAGTGCCGCTGGCTCCAACACATCGGTTTTTGTCAGTGGATTCAACCATGACTACCTGGGTATCCTCAATTCGGACCCAGAAACCACTTTAAAATACAAGCCTACAGGTGTCACCAATGCTATTCTGTCCAACCGTGTGAGCTGGTTCTTCGACTTCAAAGGACCAAGTATGACCATTGACACGGCTTGTTCCAGCAGCTTGGTGGCGCTGCATCTTGCTGTACAGAGCTTACGTGCCAGAGAGACGAACATGGTACGTTATCTGTGTTGACATTGATATTCTGATGATAATATATTGATAACGGTGAAGGCTGTCGTCAGTGGTGTGAGCATTCTTGAAAATCCCGTGGAAACCATCGGCATGAGTCACCATGGTTTGTTGGGAACTCAAGGGCGGTCTTTCAGTTTCGACTCCCGTGCCGAAGGTTATGCACGAGGCGAAGGCGTGGGCACAGTTGTAGTGAAGCCTTTGAGTGCTGCTATCAGAGACGGCGATACTATTCGTGCGGTTATTCGGGAGACCGGAGTCAACCAGGATGGCCGCACGCCAGGAATCACTGTTCCCAGCGCAGATGCCCAAGAAAGACTGATCCGTGAGGTCTACTGGAGAGCCGGCTTGGATCTCGAGCACACAAGATTTGTCGAAGCCCACGGCACGGGAACAAGCACCGGTGATCCAATAGAAGCGGGTGCTCTTACGAGAGCATTCAAATGTCGCCGAGAGACTCCGCTTTACGTCGGAGCCATCAAGTCATCCATTGGGCATCTCGAAGGTGGCTCAGGTGTGGCAAACGTTATCAAATCTATTCTGACCCTTGAGTCTGGGATCATACCTGCAAACTTTGATACGAAGCAGACAAATCCCTCCATCCCTGCAGCGGATTGGGACATTGCATTCCCTACGGAGGCTCTTCCATGGCCATCGCCGGGGCTGCGAAGAGTGTCAATTAACTCATTTGGGATTGGTGGCACCAATGCTCACTGCATTGTTGATGACGCTTACCACTATCTTAATGACCGCCGTCTTACAGGTTCCCACCGCACCACATCTACTGTTCCCACAATCCAGAAAATCAACAGCAGGCTCTTGGCACTGCCCCGGTCAGGAACAGAGTCAAATAATCTCGTGACGGACTCATTCGATGACAGCGATCACTCTGGGCACGGGAATACCTTTGTGGACACACCCACAAGCGATGGATTTTGTGCATCACCCACATTCACATCACCTACGTACACCAGCTTGGTCGAGAAACCAAAAGTATTCTTGCTATCAGCTTTTGATGAAGATGGCGTCAAGCGGAATGCAGCTGAATTCGCCAAGTACTTGAACCGGAGAACGACGCAGTCGGTTCTCCATGACCATCTCCTTGATGATCTCTCCTTCACCTTGTCGAAGAAACGATCCCAGTTTCCCTGGAAGAGTTTCGTTATGGCAACCTCTGTGAAAGAACTCGCATGGAACCTGTCGGAATCGAATTTTGCCAAGCCAACCAGAACCGCCAGAGTGCCAGAGGTTGGATTTGTTTTCACTGGCCAGGGAGCTCAATACCAGGCCATGGGCCGAGAGCTCATGGTCTACCCTGTTTTCCAAGAGTCTGTGGAGGAAGCATCGGACTATATCCGCCGACTCGGTAGTCCGTGGTCACTACTTGGTAATCATTTGATTTGCTTTTTTATCTCAATGTGCTCGACTAACGTGTTACAGACGAGCTCTTGACTGAAAGACAATCACCACGAGTCAACTTGCCCGAGATCGCTCATCCATTGTGCACAGTTTTGCAAATTGCGCTCGTGGATCTCTTGGCCAATTGGGAAATCTTCCCAAAACGTGTAATGGGTCACTCATCCGGTGAGATAGCCGCCGCTTACTGCTCTGGCAAACTGTCCCGCGAAGCCGCTTGGAAGGTTGCATACTACCGTGGATATGTATCATCCAAGCAGCTTTCCGCAAATGGAGCGATGATGGCCGTGGGTCTGGGTGCATCACAACTGCACCCCTATCTGGACTCTGTGAAGGAAAACAACACCGGAGAGCTCATCATCGCCTGCTACAACAGTCCCAAGAACAACACTGTTTCTGGAGATGACGCTATGATTGACTGTCTCAAAAGTCTCCTCGATGCCGATGGCATCTTTGCTCGAAAGTTGAACGTCAAGAATGCGTATCACTCGGCCCACATGCATGGGATTGCTCAGGACTACCTTCGTCTGATGGGAACGCTTCCCTACGGAAGGCGGCTCGCAGCTCCACACCAGGTGCATATGTTTTCCACTGTCACAGGACAGCAAGTCAAAGAGGAAAATCTGCCTGCTCAATACTGGGTGGATAATATGGTTTCTCCTGTTCTTTTCACAAGCGGTTTGGTTGCAATGACCTCAGATCCAGTTGCCAGTCATGGCTCGACCGCCTCCACAGATTCTCTGCGCCTGCTTGTGGAAATAGGGCCTCACTCAACCCTGCAGAGCGCCATCAAGGAAATACTGGTCTCGAAGAGCCCCAAGTTGGAATTCAAGTACCTGGCCGTTCTTAAACGGACAGATCACAGCCTCAACACTCTACTCACTACAGTAGGCTTCCTAGCTTTAAGTGGATTTGAACTGGATTTCCATTCTGTGAATCAAGCCTCTCGTTCCAAGGCGAAAAGGCGGCCCAGGCTGTTAGTGGACTTGCCACCATATAGCTTCAAGCATACCGAGAAGATTTTGTTTGAGAGTCGACTGAGCAAGAATCTTCGAACTCGACAGTTCCCTCGTCATGACCTGTTTGGTGCGCCAATCACGGATTGGAATCCTACTTCTCCCAGATGGAGACATTTTGTTCGATTGAACGAGAACCCCTGGCTGAGGGATCATATGGTAAGTCCAAAATTGTCTATAAGAGAGCATCGTCTATTTACATGACTCAGGTCACTGGCAACTACGTCTACCCTGGCGTGGGCTATTTGATCATGGCAATTGAAGCATCGAGGCAGTTGGCTGGCGAGGCAAAAGTCACTGGCTTCCAATTACGAAAAGTGAACATCCGAAGAGCCTTGATTATACCCAATACCAAAGAAGGAATTGAAATCTCCTTGGCAATGGCAACTGTCGAAGAGTCCTCAGCGTCATGGCGAACGTGGCGGCGGTTTCAGATAACTTCCTACAATGCATCGAGTGACGAGTGGACCGAACACTGCACTGGTCACATCACAGTTGACCACGCAACAGCTTCTGACCCAGTGGACAATGGTCGTGAAGCAGAAGAAGAAAGCCGAGCACGGGAATCCGAACATCTCCGCGCAATTGAGACATGTGCCAAATCCATGGCCTTCAAATCTACATACAATAACCTCCAAACATCCGGCCTCAATTTCGGTCCTTTGTTCCGAAACCTCGCAGACGTCCGCGCAAGTGGGTGTGGGCTTGGTAGAGTTGTTGGATCGGTGACTGTTCCAGACATTGCACAGTCCATGCCAAAGCAGTATCTACATTCCCATCTCATTCACCCTGCCACAATGGATAGCATGATCCACCTTATGATTGCGGCTGTTCTTGACTTTACCGGCAAGTCCACCCTTGATCAGATTAGATTGCCCACTTTCATACGCGATGTCTGGGTTTCAGCGGATCTGAATTCAGCCCCAGCCCACAAATTAACAGGCCATGCAACCGTGTCTCTGGCGGGATCTGACAAATTCGAGGGCCAAATTCAAATGATGGATGAGGCAAACACACACCGCATCCGCATGGACGGTATCGAGCTCACTCCACTGGAGTCTGGTCTTGCTGAAAATAGCGAGCGAAAACTATGCAGCGCGATTGAATACAAGCCAGACGTCCATTTCCTCAACTCGAAATCCGCCCGTGCACTGACTTGTCTCGAGGCTACCGATGAAGCCGACGCTCTGTACTGGGTGAAGCGTCTTCAGCTTGCAACGATGCTCTACGTCATGGACGCACTGGAGGAGCTCGGGGACATGCAGGTTATGAAACTCGATTTACATATGCGAAGATTCTTTGACTGGATGGAGCATGTGCAAGATTTGCTCAAGCGCGATGAAATAACCCACCTTCCCTACAATGAGTTCCTGGAGATTGCTCAAGACGAGGCTCTCAAGGAAGCTATCGGGAAGTCAATCGAGGCACACAGCGCCGAAGGTGCCATCACTGCCCGAATGGGCCGCAGTATCGCCCAAGTTATGCGCCAGGAGACTGATCCACTGCATCTCATGTTCGGTCAAGACACCGTGATGGAACAGGTGTACAAGGAAGGCCTCCACTTGTATAACCTGCCGCAGCATCTGCGGAACCACTTGTCTCTCATCCGCCACCAGCATTCCGAGCTGAACATCCTCGAGATTGGCGGTGGTACTGGCAGCTTCACTGCTGAAGTCCTGGCCGTCCTTTCGCCGGACCTTGCGAAAAGCAAAGGAAATATTGCCAGCTACACATTCACTGACATATCATCCGGTTTCTTCGAGAAAGCTAAACAGCGTTTCCAACCATGGTCCGACATTATGAAATTCCAATCGCTCAATATTGAGCGAAGTCCCGTCAGCCAGGGACTCCAGCTGGGGACATATGACCTGATATTCGCTGGCAATGTCATCCACGCCACTGCAAACCTGCAGAACGCATTACAGAACCTTCGATCTCTATTAAAGCCTGGTGGCCAGCTCATCATGCAGGAGGGAATTCGACAGGATTTCCTTTGGTATCCGCTTGTTTTCGGTCAGCTTCCCGGGTGGTGGCTGGGCGATGAGCCGTGTCGTCAGTGGTGTCCCTACATCCCGGCCGAAGAATGGAATCCCCTGCTGCTGCAAGCGGGATTCTCGGGCATTGATGTCGAGTATCCCAGTTCTAACGATCCAGATTTGACATGGCAGAGTATTCTGGTTTCTTCTGCCATCGAAATACCCACGGGGAAGTCATCTAATGCTGCGGTTATTGTGACGCCCGGCACATTGAAAGCCCGGCAGGTCATTGAGAACCTCCAAGGACTTCTGCCGGAACTGGGATACACGAGTGTTTTCGTCAATGAGCCTGCAGAAGTGGAAGATGCCGTCCTTTCGGATGCACTTTGCATCTCATTGATTGACTTGGAGGGTCCTTACTTGTTCGATATGAACGAAGCGGAATACAACACACTAAAGAAGATGCTCAGCGAGTGCCAAAACTTACTGTGGGTGACCTGCAACCCTCTCTCACAGCCACACGCAAGTATGAGCCTCGGTCTTCTCCGAACAGTGCGCTGGGAGCGAGATGCCGATGGCTCGAATATCGTTACCCTGACAGAGGCTGAGCAAGATATCGCTTCGGCAAAGAGCCTTGCCGCAGCTGTCGGCAAGATTGTCAAGAGGCAATTTGTGGACAAGCCGGAGGATGATCGCCACGCCGAGTACATGCTGCAAAATGGTCTAATACACATTGGTCGTTTGAACGAGTGGGAGGCTGCAGATCAGTTCCTTGCTGCACAGTCCTCTCAGCAAGCTCCTCAACTTCAACGACTCGGTGATTATGATACTCCCATTGAGTTGCAGGGGGCTGCTGTTAGCACCGGAGAATACCACTGGGTCATAGATATGCAGCATGAAGCATCACCTAGAGACACAGAGGTCGAGGTTGAGATCCGAGCGATTGGTCTCTCTTCAGATATTTCTGCCGGCCGCCTTGCGAATGAGATTGCCGGTGTTGTGAGCAAGGTTGGATCGGAAGTCGAGGGCCCAGCCCCGGGTGATAGAGTCATCTACATCTCGGGCGACAGAAAGGGCGGTTGCGTCCGAACACACGGTCGAGCTGATCAGCTGCAGCTCGTGAGAATCCCCGATGGGATCTCATTTGAAGTCGCAGCCGGCCTGGTTTGGGCATACGCAACAGCAATCCAAGGACTCGGGGAGGTGGCTCATCTCGCACCCGAAAACACTGTCCTGATTCATACTAGTGCAACGGATATCAGTCAAGCGGCGATTCAATACGCCCAAATGATTGGAGCCACAATATATGCTACTGTGGCAACGGTCGAAGAACGTGATTTACTTGTCTCTGACTATGGCATCTCCCGAGACCGTATCTTCTCTAGGAGAGATCTGAGCTTCTTCAAAGGTATCATGCGGTGCACGCAGAATTCTGGTGTTGACGTAGTCTTCAACGCACTGAGCGGCGAGGCACTCCGGGGGTCAATTGCATGCCTTGCTCCATTTGGGGCATTTGTTGATATTTCTAATCCAGATCTGCGAGCTGATACGACAGTCGAGATGGCCTCTTTGCCTCGAAATGTGAGCGTCCACACAGTCGACATTCCTTTAATGGCCCAACACCGACCAAAATCGGTTCGTCTTCTACTCACCGAGGCATTGAGATTGTACTCCGAAGGCAAGATAGCCCAACTCCGAACAACAACTGTCATGGACTTTACCCAAATTAAAGAAGGTATTCGAGCTACTCAGAGCGGAGAAGCAGCCAAAATTGTGATTGCACCTAATCTGTCCAACATGGTCCCCGTGGTCCCACGACCAATATTGCCATTTCACTTTGACCCAGACGCCTCGTACGTTCTTGCTGGTGGCTATGGCGGCTTGGGCCGCAGTTTAGCACGATGGATGGGATCTCACGGCGCAACAAGCCTGATTATCCTATCCCGCTCATCGGCTTCGAGCCCTGAGAAGATGGAGTTGATTGCCGATCTGGACAGAATGGGATGCAAGGTCCATTCGCTGGTCTGCGATGTGGCCGATCTCTCCAGCATCCAACAATTATCCGGAGAGGTATTTCCCCACCTACCTGCTATCAAGGGATGCATTCAAGCATCCATGGTCCTACGGGTAAGTCCCCAATCCTTCGGTTCTAGATATACAACAGCTAACATATCCTAGGATGGCACCTTCAGTGCACTCTCCTTCAACGACTGGCAAGCTGCCATCAGACCCAAAGTGCAAGGTTCCTGGAATCTGCACACAGTCCTACCAGACAACATGGACTTCTTCATCATGCTCTCCTCAGTCGCAGGCATCTTCGGCAACCGTGGACAATCCAACTACGCCGCAGGCAATACCTTCCAAGACGCACTGGCCGCATACCGCATGTCGAAAGGCATGCAAGCAGCCAGCATCAACCTGGGCAGTGTATCCAACGTCGGGTGGTTAGCAGAGAACCGAAGCTCGATGCGCACGCACACAGCAACATTATTCGAGCTTCTCCGTGAAGAAGAGGTCCAAGCAACAGTCGACTTCCTCATCCGCGGCCATCAAGACGGCGGCAATGGATCGGCGCGCTCACAGCTCGTCCTCGGTGTGCCGACCGCGGAGATGTGTCGTCGGAACGGCGTCCCGCTGCCTACGTATCTGAATTACTCGATGTTCACGCACTTCCGTAACACCGCGACGGCGAAGAGTACTGAGGTCTCCCAGCAGAAGACTGTTAGCACTGCTGCGCTTTTGGCGGCGGCTGCTGGAGTCGAGGGTGCTGTGGCTGTTGTGTCGGATGGGATTGTTGAGAGACTCGCTTCTTTGCTTGCTATTCCCTGCTCTGAACTTGATGCTCAGCGTTTCAGCTTAGCGGGTATTGACTCCCTTGTTGCTATGGAGTTCCGCGCGTGGATTGTTAAGGAGCTCAAGGCTGAGGTTTCTTTGCTTGATATTATGGGGGCGGAGAATATTAGGGCTTTGAGTGAGAAGATCGCCGGCAGGAGTCATTTGATTATTGCAGAGGGGTCTGCTTCTGTATCTTCCTGAGGGTCTTTTTATCTCTTTCTCTGCGAGTTTCCTGGGATTTTCTTATGATTTGATTTTGATACTGCTTTGCGATGGGCTCTCATGATTTATTGATCTCACGTCTTGACGCCACTTTTACGAGACATGACCATGCTGCATCTTGTCTTCCACAAAGCATTTTTCCAGGCTCTTTTGTTTTTCGTGCTCTTTGAGACTAGATTCAGTGATGAACAGAATGCATACGGAAGTTTTCTACATAGCTTAGATCCAAGATTTAAGATTTGATAAATGAGATACTTCAATGTTATTCATCAGAGTCGTTCTTTAAGAGTAGAAAACATCCATCCCGATAGATTAATAATAGCAAAATGCTGTGCTTGCATTAACAAAAATAGCTCAAAAACCCTAGACCTTCCATTCGTTATTCATTACTCATCAACATCTACCGTGCAGGCCCAGAGGGGAAATAACCCCGTAAGCTCTGACCCGGAACTCCACAAACAGTCAACTTTGGTTCAGCTCCAGACCGCTCATGATGCCACGCACGCTCGCGTAGGGCCAAGTAAACTGAGCGGAACGGCTGGAGGTCGCCAGGGAGCCGAGCCGGCGGTTTATGAGGATCGAAGCCCAGCTGTTGGAGCTGCGTCTCACACCAATGCAGGGTCTCCGGGGGTAGATATTGCTCTGTGTCGTAGTCGGCGTGGTTTTGTTGCATGACCTGTAGCGTCGGAACATCGGCTGGGAGGCCGAAGTTCTCTACGCCCTTCGGTGGGTGGTGGTAGTTCATATAGGGTTTTCCGGGGGCGCGCTCAGGGTGGTCTGCTTGTTTGCGGATGTTGTGCATATTCCAGGTTTGGACGTAGGATTTGATGTGGGAGCGGAGAGTGGGCATGTAGATTGCGAGGAGGGCGACTTGTTCGGGAATTACTGTTGATGAGAAGAGGCCTTGGTTGTGAAGTTCGCGGAAATAGTTCTGGTTAAGGTCAGTATTTTGCGACTAAGTGTAGGAGGAACCTGTGAAAGATCACTGACATGGTATAGTGTCACTACTGATTTAGCAAGCTGGGCCCACCAGGATTCAATCCGGTGGGTATCTGTGGCTCGTCCGGGTGCACAGCATTGCTCACGCTGGACATCTGGCTCAGTGACGCGGCGGAGCGCAAAGTGAGCATCGGCCAGAAGAGGAACCTCGGACTCGAGGTCAGATCGAAGAGTGCGTGGTTGGCGGTTTTTAGAAGCAACAGTCTCAAGATGGTTTTTGAGAACGCCGACAGACGTGTGCGCATCCACACCAACGTGAATCCAGAGGACATATCGAGAATATGCATCGAGCTCCGCATGAATGCGGAACCCGAAGTTGGCTAGCTTTGAGTAGCCATTCACATGCCAGGTCAAATTAGGCCCGGCTAGAATCTTTGGCGGGGGAGGAGGCCGATGCATATCTCTCGTGCGGCGTTCCACTGTCTCCGGCCGCAGCATGCGATAGACATTGTAGAGACGATCTCGGGCAAAGACGTACCCCTTGCTTCGGAAGTGGTTGTGCAGTAGTTCCTTTCCATACCCCTCAATGGTCCCCTTGTCCATTTCCTCGGTCAGAGCGTCGAGGATCTCCTGGACCTGTGCTTGTTGTTGTGTAGGCGAGTCAAGGCGGAGGCGGATGCCGAGTTGGTGACGGAGTCTGCGGAGAGTACGGGCGGAGACATCGTAGCCCTCGTCGTGTAGAACGGTGACGATTTCTTGGTCGGTCAGACCCACGTCGAAGAAAAGGTTTTTGATACGGGCGTGCAGCGCTTCGTTGGAGGAATTGTTTTCCATCTTTTTCTTGACGCCCCACAGCTGTAGGCGCTTGGTCAGAGTACGCGCCGAGATCTGGATATCATGCTGCCTCTTCATGTGCTTGCAAATGTCGCTGCTCTTCATTTTCTTTTCGTACAGGCCGATGATTTCGGCTCTATACGGCTCAAGGTCGACCCGAGGGCGGCCTGACATCTTACTTGGCGTATCAGCTGTATTCTCCATTTCGCGAATTCAGACCGACCAATGTTGATAAGGAAGACAAAGATGTTAACGGACGGGGAAGGCGGGCGGTGTGTCGACACATAGCGGCAGAATTCCACCGCCTTGAATTTTTTGTTATCGCAGCGACTCTTCTCGAGGGACACTCTGCTCAGTCACTCCCGATATTTTTTCGGTTTAATACCAGCCAGCAGAAAGACCTGCCACAATGGTCCGCGAACTCAAGCACCACGAGAAGAAGTACGTCCGCAACTATGATTCCGTCCGCAGAAATCTCAACCCGATCCCACCAAACATGTCTAAAGCTTCGCAATACTACAAAAGATCAATAGCTAACACCAGACCCTCTGCAGACTTCTCCGGAAGGTGGACTTCCATAATTACAAGTCAGACGGCAACCACCGCGAACATGAAATCCGGCAACGATACCTCCTCCAAGACCCAATGGACTACCGCAAATACAACGCGCTCTGCGGTTCTCTGCGCCAGCTCGCACACAAGCTCTCCCAACTGGACCCGGACGCAGATCCACTACGAAAGAAGCTCGAATCCGAGCTGCTGGAGAAGCTATGGCGCATGGGAATCCTGAAGCAGTCTCGCGAGCAGGGCGCCGGTCTGTCCAAGGTCGAGCGCGAGGTTACAGTTTCTGCGCTGTGTCGTCGTCGATTGGCCGTCTTTATGGTGCGGTCTGGCATGGTTGAGACCATTAAGGCTGTAAGTTGTGTGGAATTTTGTTCGGGGTGGATGTATGCAATGGAATGCTGACTTTTCTTTCTTTTTCGCTAGGCTACTACTTTTATTGAGCAGGGCCATGTCCGTGTTGGTACGGAGGTCGTTAATGATCCTGCTTTCTTGGTTACCCGCAACATGGAGGACTTTGTCACCTGGGTTGATTCCAGTAAGATCAAGCGCAACATCTTGCGTTACCGGGAGAAACTGGATGACTTTGATCTTCTGTGATCGACTCTAAAAAAAGCATTTTGGGTTTTTGTTCTGATATACCCGGCGCTTGTGCATTGTGGCCTGTTTTGGTTTGGCGTATTGATGTTTCATGAAATGATATCTCATGTCCAAGGTTCTCTGGATGCTCAATATGGATATAAATCCGACCTATGTTCTCTAGAAACGTAGAGTGTAGAGCATCCCCTGCATACATTCAAGCACTTGGGGCCGTGTCTATTCCTGAGGTACCAGGACTCATATGGTACACACCGCTTTCGCAGGGTTGCCATGCATATGTAGTATGCGAAAATTGGTCTTGTTGCTCTCGTTGCTATTTATCCTATCAGTCCACATGTGGGAATAATTCATAACCTGACAAGTTGAAGGATGACGAAGGGATACCCCTCACTTTCTCGCTTCCAAGATAGGCTGTTGCCAGATACCAGATACCAGCCATTCATGCTATCAAATCATGGGAAATACAAATCTACCGAGGTTGTTCATGTGTATCTCTTTCAAGCCTCCGAATGACCCAGTAAAAGGAGATGGGCTGGATAATCTAAATACTCACATGAATTAACTGGAATGCGCACAGGAATCGCTATCGAGTGGTCATGCGTGACCTCCAGCGAATAGGCATCGAGCTGTATGCACCGGCATTTGGGATGATGATCCAAATAGGAAAATGACTGCCGGCACTCGACTTAGAGTGGTTGGCACTTTCTGGTTGGTCAATCGTCCAAGAGTCGGAGAGGTTTCCAGTTTCCGGTGGTTGAAGATGGATTTTCGCTGTATATAAGCGGTTATTTTCAAAATTTTCTTTGTCTGTCTACTCCAAAGTCGGCGACACCTCGACTAGCTGCCTAAAAGTGTGTAGAGTCAGAGCAGGTAATTATGCCAAAAGATAGCATCACTAAAGCCAAAATATGTATGTACCGCATGAGGCTATGTACAAAGTTCCAATAAAAATAAGGGTATCTTAGTCTTTAAAAACGATCGCAATGCAACAAATGCAAAAGGGACTGGAGATAAGAATAGGCCAGAGGGTGTCCCGCCGAGAAGGGACGCATTGAACGGGATGGGAACCAGTGGATGCAAATGTAGATCATCATTTGGGGATCATGGTATCATAGGAAAATCAGTTGAGGCAGTGTAGCTTTGCAAGCAGAACGTGTGCTAGGCTCTGGTTGAAGTGATAAATATTGAGCATCAAATTCAGAACGAAGGAGTTAGGCATTAGGAAGAGGACAAGTCTTCGAACGGAGACACGTCCAGCGTCTTCGAGCGCCACCAGGGGAATTTGAATTTGAATTTGAATTGGAGGTCGAGGTCTTGCCCAGGAAATTCAAGAGCTGGGCCTGGGGCTTTCCTTGAGAATCCGATTCTGGCTCTTCATCTTCAGGGATATCCATACGGAACCGACGTACGCTGCCTTCACGCTCTGTCTTGCCTTCCTCGAAGAACGGGGTGCGCGAGTCGCGGGACTGGAAGCAGCGAGGCGCAACACGGCGCCAGAGACCCCGGACACCACTACTTGCCCGGTCGATCTTCTCGTACTCACGCCGCCGAGTATCGGGTGAGGTCCATTCCATCACTGTCGCCGGGACGTGGATGGACGAGGACGAGGGGCTATGGTGGTGGTTGCTGGGCAAGGTCTTTGATCGATCTCTTGATGTAATGAAGTGCGGTGCGCTCGAGCTTGGTGAAGTAGATTCGGGCTCGAAGCGGAAGCTAGAATATGAAGGTGCGATTGGGGACGAGGGTGCCGAGTTGCCTTTCTCTGATATGCGGTTCTCATTCTGAGATCTACATGTAGCTGATGCTGCACGGTGTAGAGAAGGTCTTGTCTCGGTCGAGGATCTGTTTGAGGCATCGCCTTGGAACAGACGGCATGACTCCCGGTGTAGGGCTAGTAATGACTCGCGCTTGTCCTGCGTGGAACTGCGAGCTGAGGTGGTAGGTACGATGGCAGCGTTGGGCACAGCCCGGCGTGGTGAGTGAAAGGAACTGGGACGGCTGTTGGGTCGGGATCGCACAGTGCTACGGGATGCCGAGCGAGAGTGTGTGATCGAAGTAGATGTCGACGTTGATTCTCTACGGCGCTCATTTCCCGGTGGATCGATCCTTTTCACCTTGGCCATCTCAGATGGGGATATAGAGTGGCATCCTTTGAGCTCTGTGACGAGGGGCTCCTTGGAAATAGCCAGTGGCTCCAGGGCCAGACATGTGACGGAGGCCATTTCCCGTCAGGAAACCTTGATCATAGGCAAATATAGGCAGGTGCCATGATCAGATGTATAGGAGGTTCGTTTGGATGAAATTAGAGTTAATGAGTTAACAGGTATTAAAACGAGAGATCGACTCCATCTTGAAGCCCAAGAGATGAACATAATAAAGAAAAGTAAAATGAAATGAAACTCGAGCAAACGTCTCTTTATTTCAGTATGCGCACACCGCTCCTTATCTATTTTAGCGGAGTGGGGGTTTAGAGTGTCTGGCCATGATCGTCCTATGAAGGCGTTTACCCTGCAGTTACTTGCAGTTACAAATGCAGGGGCTTTGTTGTAAGAGAGTATGGGGTAGTTCGTAGTAATTTATAGATCATGCTAATAATAAACAACATACATAACTAGATAGTAAGCTTAAGGAAAACAAACCATTCACTTCCACATGGTCACATTGTCAATGCAGAAACTCTGTTTGGACGAAGCTAATCGAATACACTAAATACACTAAGCCAATAAGCTAACCTATGATAGGCATTGCACCCTACATGTGTTGGGACGTTGTCTCAACATCTACAAGATAAATACTTCGATAATAATTGAATGCATTTACAATAGTCAAGTTATAATTTAAAGAGAATAAAGGAACTCGGGGTTCTCCCGATCTGTCAAATCAAGGAACCTGCAAAAGTTAGCAAGAGTTAACTAGTTAGTTAGCTAGTTAGTAGACATAAATCACTCACTCTTGGTTATCTAGTCTCACATATTCTGGTCGGGCAGTGAATTGGATCTTCTTCTGGTTCTCTCGACGATACCACATCCAGACCCCGACCAGCAGGAACAGACACACACCCCAGCAGACGATGATGGTCACCTCGGCGGGGACATAGCGGGGAGCGTCTTTCGGGCGGAAGGTTTGTGGGCCTGGTTGTGTTAGCGCTCTCCATGTTTTCTCTTACTTTCGTACTCACCGATAATATTTCCAGCACAATATCCAATCAAATACAAAGCCGCCACAGTCGTCTTCTTAGTATATCCCGCCACATTGGAAGAAATCAGCGACAGCAATGCCACGAAAGGTGTCGGGCTGGCCTGTGTAAGGTAGTAGCCAATCAAACGACCAACATTGTTTGATAGGGGCAGAGCGACAATGAGCAGCATCCCCACGATTGCAGCGACCAGCCCACCCAAACTGGCGAGGACACGCTGCCCAGTGATATGGCCGACATAGCCGTTGAGCAAGAGTGCAACGATCTCCACGGCGCCGCCAGGGACACCCAGAATCAGACTCTCTTTCTCGTTGTATCCGAAGCTTGTAATCTGGACTGATCAGCACACTTGGAATCTTCATTTGAGAAGTTACCATTAACATACCAGCTGACTGAAGAAATTGCTAATACCCCCATTCGGAATATCAGCAATCAAAGCATAAAAGAAGAAAGCCCAGGTCATCGGATCCAAAAGCGCCTCCTTGACCTGATATAGTTTGAAATGTTTATTTCCAATGCCCTGCTGGTTGACCCGCACACGGGCAACAGCCAAGATGCGATCCTCTTCATTTAACCAGCGTGCGTTGAGTTGGTTGTCTGGCACAATCCAGAGGAATACCAGGCCCAGGCAAATGGTGAGCAGGCCAGTGACGAGGAAAACAATCTTCCATGGCTCGATGGAGGACCCGTGTTTCTCGGTACCGACGGCGATGCCGTACGCGACTACTCCGCCGAATATCTGGCCCACGCCATTGAAGCTGAACCAGATGTTGACGCGGCTGCCTTGTTCTTGTTTTGTGTACCACTGTTTGGGGACTGTTAGCTCGACTCATTGTATGTAGCTTATCGGTTATGGCTATTGGTTCCGAGAAGACACACGGGTGGTTTTTGTACCTGGGAAGTTAAGAGCGCAAAGCCCGGCGTAACGGCGGCTTCGAATACACCAAGCATAAAGCGGATAGCGATAGCACCCGGGTAACTGTTAACAGCGGCAAAACAGCTGAGAATCAATCCCCAGATCAAGATGCAGGCTGCAGAGTATTTTCCGAGTGGGAGGCGCTGGAGGAGGCGGTTGGTCGGGTACTCCCAGGCGAGATAACCTATGTGGAGGAGCTATTAGGTTTAATGCCCACGGAGAAGAATATATATATTCAGGAGGAGAAAAGCAGAGATGGAACGTACCAAAGTAGAACAAACTCCCAAGCCACTGATACTGATCTCCCTCAAGATTCAGATCCTTCTTAATACCCATAACACTGGCATAGGAGAGGGTGGTTTCTATATATCGGATCACAGATTAACACTTCGGGTTGCATAAACAGAGTCCAAAACAAAGCATGAAACTATAATCGCTCATGCTTTGCTCCGTTGGAACCAAAATCGAGCTAAGGTATGCACGTACTATCCAGATAATTCATGCCGTAGATAAAGCACATGATAGGCATCATATGCCAATCAATAATACTTAACAGGCGGCGATTCGTAGCCTCATCCAGCTCGATGGTTTCACCCTGAAGATCGCCAAGGGCCTTCAGAGCCTCATCGGCGTCGTGTGCATGCTTCTCTATCGTGGGGTCAACATGTTTTGTCTTGCCCACATCGATGTCGGTGTCCACGCCAGAGGAAATGCCGATAGCTTTCTCCTCTGAGGCCATGGTTTCGATACTATAAGGGAGAGCGTGAGAGGTCGGGGCAGTGGAGTAATTAAGACCAAGCGAGGTCACACAGAACAGGATTAAGCTCGCCCGAGTTAGCGGTAGTGCGACTATAAGCAATGCGGGGGCGATTTATAAAAGAGATCGAAAGAAAAAGCCAGAATTGGGCAGGCACAGCTAAATAAGAATAATGGTAGGAACTCCGCACGCCCGATGGCTATTTGGGACGATCTTAGTACTTAACACTAAGTTGGTTACTATACCCTGTACCCTGTCTAAGCAAAACCGGGTAGCTGCACTATGCAGCACGTATTTACTGTTATCTCGAGAGAGTCACTCCTCCTATCACCAACGTAGCATATGTATGCAACACGGCAAGCGAGTTGTGGGTCTATCCACGATAACAAGCCGATTTATCTGGGGTTGACGGTTTGTGATGTGTCTCATTGGACGGTCAATAGAGGGGGTGAGGGGAATGATCGTCGTAGGGGAAACTACTTGTCTTTTTTGGACATGATGTTCATTCATTAAGACGAAAGGCATATAACGTAGGGCTGGATACTTGTCGGTGTGTGTACGTGCGGAGGCGGAGACGCCAATAAGGGATATTACGTCAAGATAGGCCGGATATTAATGTACAATATTACCGAGATGCTTACGCTTCTAGCTCCGTCGTAGTTCCGACGAAGTTGAAGCAAAAGTACAGTCTTACTCTTATCTGTTGTCCAGGTAGTATCCCGAGTTTGGAGAAGGCGTTATCAAAGCTACCCCAAATATTCGGATACTCAGAGATTGGCTTTGATCCCATGATTCACTGACGATTGGTGAAACATGCCGTTGGACACTTGTATGTATCTTTGGACTCAACCTTGCCCTTGCATCGGCTGTACATGCAGGGAAGCCCTTACATAGCCCTGGAGAAAAACTCGTGAACACCGCTGATGTAAGAAAGCACCAAGCCCGGGCTGCAAGAAGGTAGCACGCCGCCATATATAGAATTTTCATTATGCATCACCACACATGTACCTACAGTGGAACGGGGACTACGCGCTCCTATTGCGCGCCCACGCGGGCCAGATACGCCTCCCAGCCCTCTTGCTGGTACTGCTTAGCGGCCTCAACAGGGTCGGCAGCGGCATAGATACCACGGCCAGAGATAATAAAGTCAGCACCACGGCCAACAGCCGACTGCGGCGTCTGGTACTGCTGACCGAGCTTATCGCCCTTAGATGAGAGGTTCACGCCAGTGGTGAAGACGACGAAGTCCTCGCCCTGAGTGGGCGCCTCCGTAGACTCGACCTCGCCCAGAGACCGGGTTGAGACAAAGCCCAGCACAAAGCTGGGGTACTTGCGCGCGATATCGACGGAGGCGGAGGTGTAGGCGCCTGTTGCGAGTGATCCCTTTGAGGTCATCTCGGCGAGGATGAGGAGGCCGCGCTCGGAGCCGTAGGGGAAGTCACTGGCCTGGGCGGTTTGCGCGAGGGCCTCGACGATCCCCTCGCCTGGTAGGATGGAGCAATTGATTATGTGGGCCCATTCAGAGATGCGGAGGGTGCCGTTGTGGTACTGTTTCTGGACTGTGTTGCCGATGTCGATGAATTTGCGGTCTTCGAAGATGAGGAAGTTGTGCTTTTGAGCTAGGGCGTTCAGGCCGTCAATTGTTACTTGGCTGAAGTCGGCAAGGATGTCGATGTGTGTTTTGATCACGGCGATATAGGGGCCAAGGCCTGTGGATGGATTAGTGGGTTGTTTCGTTGGAGGGGTGGGGTTGGCTGGGTTCATTTACGGTCGGCGAGGTCCAGGAGCTCCTTCGTTGTGGTCACGTCAGCCGAGACGGTGACATTGCTCTTCTTCTCTTCGGCGACTTGGAAAAGCTTGCGCGCGAGGGGATTGGGGTGCGATTGGGCGCGGGCGCTGTAGGTCAATTGCGACTTGGACGACATGGCGGGGTTGGCGGGGGTGAAGGGACGATTGTTATGTATTCGTTATATGATTTTGAGAATTCCGGAGGAAGTGAATCAAACGACAAAGCCTCTAGAATACAATTGCAACTGTCTTCTTGACATTCAAAGTGGAATAATCGAAGCAAGTTCGAGTCGAAGACAATCGGGGAACTTTTTCTGCCACTGTGGACCCCCACGGGCCTACCCTTCCGAGGGAACTGTGGCGCATAATACATTGCATTCAACATAGAAATACATAGTCCATCTTCAATTTCAAGACACTTTAGAGGATTTCAAGCTTCAATCTCTTAGAAAGAAAGCAGGGGCCGTCCAACACCGTAGATACTCAATCCCCAGAGAGCACCCTGCACAAGCCAGAAGAACCCGCCGATCAGGCGGCCCTTACCCTGCGGCTTGCCTGAGTATACATAGCCGTAAAGGAACAGAGCGCGGAAGAAAACCCACAGGGCTCCCAGGCCAGCAGCCCACTCCGGGTACTTCAGACCAGCGACCAGTGTGAAGAGCATTGTCTGCGAGGCATTCTCAAGGAAGTTGGTGTGGGCGCGCTGGGCGCAGTTGAACTGCTCGGCTTTGGCCTACAACCAGTTTAGTAGATGCCATTTGGTATTTAACGGGAGGTACATATGTTTCCATTGAATACGGGGGCTTGCGAAGGCTGGGTGATGGGGAGGACGCACGTTTTCCTTGCATAGCTCCATGGAAGCATAGCTGTGAGGGTAGGGCACCTTGGCCTCCTTGCGCAGGCTGCCTGTGATAATGCCGTGAACGAAGCCCAAGACCGGGATGGCGCCGAGTGCGACAGCAATGACGGCACTGGGAAATAATGTTAGCCTCGGATTTCAGGGAAGCTTGACGGTTGAGCTGGAGTTGGCAGGACCTACCCGTAGTTGCCAGGAACAGTGAATGCGACCATGATGAGAAGAGAATCCGGGGGAATGATGTGAGCTAGTATTTGTTGTGACTTTGCCTGATTCTGGGGGTCCTTTATACGTGGAGGTTCGGGAGGCACAACCTCCGAGCTCCCGTCGGTGCAATGAATTTGGCCGTCCACGGGTTCCTTCCCGGGGCCCTTCCCGGGGCCCGTGGCCTTCCAAGACGATATAGTTGGCCTTTCGGAGTCAATTATTGATGATTTCTCAAGATTCGAATCTTCTAGATCCTACGCAGGTACACTCTTTTCTTTTTCGTCAAGGCTACTACTATGCATGGACGAGTTGGTGAGAATGCCAAAATAAACAATCGGACGTTGTCATGCAAGGGATGTTTTCTACCATTTGATTCAAAGACAACTATAAGTCCCAGCATATGTGGAGGGAAATGCGATACACAAGATGGCTAAAAGTTGAAAAAGATCATGCTCCCATGTTCGGCACCATCCTACTTACACTCCCATACTTGGCCTGCCAAGCGAAGAAGTATAGGAGTGCTCCAAGTGGTTGTCCGACTAGACAAAAGCTGACCCAAAAGATGCAATTTCCAATAACCCTGCCTTCAGGTCCGCGCATATTATCTAACGGTGCGGTGAGACTAATTAACGGCAGCTGGAACATCATGCCAAAGAACGCGACACCTGGACTTGATTAGCCATTGAGCTGGGACCAGAGAGTGAAAGAGAAAGACATACCAATGAAATTATGTGTGGGAATTCCCACGAGCATTTCGTGAAGAATCGCAGAGAGCGTGAAAACCATTCCACTCGCACCCAGAGGGCTCCATCCACGACCCACCAGCGGAGAGTAGACATGTCTCTTCATGAACAAGTAGACAGGCCGGTTCCAAGATCGCCAATACATACCCAGGCTCGAGCTGTTCCACCAGTCGGTGTAGAACTCGCGGTCTCCAAACCGCATGACCTCGGCCAGAGCGTTCAAAAGCGCTTGAAACAATGCAAAGAAGCCAGCAAGCCAAATAATCAGCGAGATAGTGGACAGCTTCATAACCCGCTCCAAAATCGAGGCTATATCCATTATTGCGATCTTATCGATCGAGTTGCGCAACACAGGTGCGGCATATTGCGCAGAGAGAAGCCAAATGAACACTGCCAGACCCACGAACTCTGCGAGGCGCTTTGCAACGAATGACCACCGGATGGATGCTGTGCGCGGATAAACAGGCTGATATACGAGCGTCGGCGCCAGCCAGAAGTACGCTAGGTTGTTGATGGTAATATTCCTCGGGTAGGGGCATGAGGAGTAGATTTCGGGCAAGCCCGGGTCTGCGGAGGGATTGAGCATAGCGAGACGGAGGTCTCGGTTTGTGAAGGCATAAGAGCAGTTCTTCAACCACACAATAATCGCGTGCAGCTGGCATATTGTCCCAATGCCTGGGTGATGAATGTAGAAATACACCACGAAGCTGGTTACTGTGAGGCATAACGTCGCATTGAGCGTGTGCAGGAAAGCAGTGTACGGCCATGTGGACTGGAAGACCTTCTGATCGTGCTCTTTCTCTTTCTCTGTCTTCTTCTGACGGCCCACGGTCTGCTTGGCTGCCGTAGCGGCTGAAAGCTCAATGATGTATGCCACAAGTAGATGACATGGAACAGAGGCAAACAATATAGACCCCAGAACAACGTCTTGCCTGCGGTAGTCATGGCATTTAATACAGATTAGCACGCCATACTGTATGTTTATTAATTGGCGAACTTCAATCAGCAATTGGAGCATTTGGATTACCCACTTTCATGAAGTTCTCAATAATCAATCGCAGGTTCATTGCCACTGTTGGAACATTAGCCGTTTCCGTATAGAATTCCCCAGCGATCCTTACCGAGTACCAACACCATGAGATTTCGAAAACCCAGGAAGTTAGGGAGCACCTCGGCCTCTCGACTGAGGCTGGAATGACGAGATTCCGAGTGATATGCAGCTACATGGCGATATTTACTTCGTTTCTTTGCAGTTGAACTTGATGGCGGAGAGACCTCGGTTTCATTCTGGACCCCTTTCGTCGAATTGAGCTGCGATTCCTCGCGGGCGCTCGTAATTGATCCAGTGCGAGTAGTCATGTTAACAGCTCTGCGACCTCGGTGTGAGAAATCGAAGGGTCTTTAAGTCGAGCTCCGATTAAACCGGAGCACCGACGGGAGAGCAATGTGGAGATTAGAGCAACAACTAGGCCGCACAACTACGGCAGAAGAGAAGAGAAGAAGAAGAAGAAGACAAAAGACAAAAGCACCAGAAACAAGACGATTTAATACTGGACATGGCGGGGGCAGAGACATCATAGCGCTTACAGTAAAACCCGCAGGGGCCAATCAGCGTCACATGCGCTCAAGGGACGGATCCGGCTCGTGCGCTCCGAAGAGCTTCGACTTTCTCCGCGTCTTTTGTTTTTTTATAAGCCTTGGACCGGACCGATTCAGTATTCGATCGATATTTGGAACTTTAATTCCCTTTCATCCTCATGTTCGCGAACCGACAGCCTTGATCCTGTACATCTTTTTAACCGGTCGCGATGGCCTACTACGAGGACAATGCCGGTGATGGTCCAGGGCGGTTTGGCAAGAATTTCGATGGTCCAGTCGGACCTCGCAGACCACGTATGTTTGCTTGCTTTGAACTGACTTTGACTGAGCTTCTGCTTGTTCATAGCCCGACTGACGACCGTTTCTCTCACTCAGGTCTCGTCACGGATTATGGGTCTTCAATGGTACAATGGATGAGAACACGGCAACCGAGATACAAAGGAGGACATCGACTGGAGACGGAACGACCGAGTCCCAGCTTCGCAGTCGATGTATGTGTCGAACTGTACCAGCCCTGGCGGACAAAGAGACTGACTTGCGACAGGTTCTTCCCCCGATGGCGCGGCCCCATTCTGCTGTCGATACAATCCCCGTCCGACACCTTCACCAGTCAATCGGAAAATCAAAGAAACCCATCGTCGTGGTGCGATGGACTCCTGAGGGGAGGCGGCTGTTGACCGGCGGTCATACGGGAGAGTTTATGCTCTGGAATGGAACTGCGTTCAATTTCGAGACGGTTATGGATGTGCGTATTTACAACTTCTGCGGATTGCACCTTCACTAACCTGAGATGTTCTCCCCTACAGGCACACTACGATCAGATACAGGCTGGTGTCACGTCCTTGGCATGGGCCCACAGCCAGGACTGGCTGGTCTCTGGTGGACAAAGAGGTGATATCAAATACTGGCGACCCAACTTCAACAACGTCGAGACGATCGATGACGCGCACCACGACGCAGTCCGCGATCTGGCCTGGGCACCAAGTGATACTAAATTTCTTTCAGCATCCGATGACACAACCCTCAAGATTTTCGACTTCGCAACCCGAACGGCCGATGCAACACTGACCGGACACAACTGGGACGTCAAGTCTTGCGACTGGCACCCGACCAAGGGCCTGATTGTTTCTGGATCGAAGGACCACCAGGTCAAGTTCTGGGATCCGCGGACTGGTCGCTGCTTGACGACCCTCCACAGTCACAAAAACACAGTCACATCGACGCGATTCTCCCGTGTCAACAGCAACCTCCTTGCTACTTCGTCGCGAGACCAAACTGCAAGGGTATTTGATTTGCGGATGATGCGTGATATTTGCATTCTGCGAGGCCATGACAAGCCGGTTTCTTCTCTGACATGGCACCCGATTCACAGTAACCTTATCTCGACTGGAGCCGAGGACGGTTCTCTATATCATTATCTACTTGATGAGCCTCACCTGCCGGCGGGCCAGATTCCTACCGTGGCGCCATACGACAGCCCGGACCCGGCCAATACTCCGCCGCAGGTGATCTACCCGGCACATCGGATACAGCACGCGCACGGTGCTACAATTTGGTCACTAGACTGGCACCCACTGGGCCATATCTTAGCTTCTGGATCTAAGGATAACTTCACTCGATTCTGGTCGCGGAGTCGGCCTGGAGAGACTAGCTATATGAAAGACCGATTCCACATCGGCGAAGAGGCCGCAGAAGCCCAGGGAACATGGAACCGCGGGTTTGGCCGGAAACAAATGCGCGAGGATGAGGAGCAAGAAATGCAGGACGAAGCCGACAGCCTGGTCGACCAACGGCGACCAGGCGGCCCTGCTCTGCCGGGTATTCAAAGTGCGCCGCCGGCCGGGCCTCAGCCCGACGTTCCAGGTTTGCTGCCTGGTATTGGCAGCGCCCAGCCTCGGCAGCCGGGGATGGATGGCGGCGCTATGGGTGGGATGGATCCGGGCCGTTTGGCTGCACTCATGTCCACTCGCCCTCCTTCACAGTCAAGTACCCCCACACCTGGAATGCATGGGTTCACCATGCCGCAGGGTATGACCGGAACACCGCCGATGAATATGGATCTAGCACAACTGCAGAAGCAGCTCCAGGGTTTCCCTATGCCACAGAATCTCAACCTCCAAGCTTTGGCGAACAACCCCGGCTTCCCTGGTGGATTTGGTGGCCTGCCTGGTTTGCAAGGCGGGGGTATGCCTGATGGCAACTGGAGACAGTGATGAAAAATGGACATCTGATTTGAAATGCACGTTGAATCGACTTGCATTGGTGCAAAGGACATACATAGCATGGCTACTTTGATGCGGGGCGACGGCGTTATTTGAGATATCAAATCCCATTTGTATCATAGGATATCCCCGGCATTTCAAAGTCTTCTCGATCTTTGTCGGCGAGACTGTTTGTGTAGGTTGGTTGGACATATTCCGAATCCGTAGTTGCCGTCCACGATATCCTGTACGTAGTATGGTCGAAGGCAGTAGCCGCCGGCACCATTTAAAGACCACCTTGCATGGGGAAGCTGGTGACAATAAGAACCATCACATTGACACCACCCCATATCATAGGTAGCCAAGTTGACATCCTGAAATTGCCTGCTTCATACACCGCGCCGAGGCTATCCACCGTAGAAGAGTTAGCTACATACCTAATCATGGTGAGGAGGCCAAGTGCCAATAAACCAACTTACACAACTCCAATTATACTTCCAGCTAAAAGCGACTCTAGCGCTGCAACAAAAATGTAGACCAACGGCACAATCCATATCACATTCCAGTTACGAAAATGAGTCAGTACTGCGCACCCAGCCACAGTGAGATGTGTCGCGGCGTAGAATATCAGCGTCCAGAAAAGTGTGAAGCGCCAAATATCCTTCGTGTAGTATAGGTAGTATGATTGTTGATGATGCGCCGGCACGGGATCGTACAATGACGGGAAAGAAGGTACTTCGTAGTTAATCGGGACGCGGTTGTTGGCCATGGAGAGCTAGCTGCGCCGGTTCAGCTGCAGCCAAGATAAGTCATTGAAGCATGACACGTGAACAGAGGACAGTCACTTTGACTGTATATGTATTGCACGCGTATCAACAAAACGGCAAGTCTACCCAGGAGACGATGATACTTGTTTGCGCTGTTTGCATACGGCTCATTGGTCAGCTTTGCGTGGACGCCCTCTGGACCCGGACCTCGGCTTCTCCGCGGTTGATCATCTCACTCCCTGAGCGATGTAGAGCCTCTTGTCTGGGAGCATCCCTATCACCTCTAGTCTTGAAATGGCCACTGAACGATCTTTGGCTACACTGCTGCGGTCGCTGCAGGCGACTTCCAGCTTCCAAGATGCCGCTTCGTAAGTGCCGCATACCCTCAATCCGATTCCGGAGGTCAATGTTAGGCTAACGTCTGGTCAATTCAGTCTTCTTCCCACGGCTACCAGTTTCCTGTCCATGCTGGGGAATCCTCTGAATCTGACACTTCTTTCGTCTCAACTCCTCACTGCACCTTCGCTCTGGAGTCACCCCGTCGACCTCCAATCATGTCGCCAGATCCTCAGCGTCTTCAATACCGCCGCCATCGCTGTCTTGCAGAATGATACTACCGACGAACCTCGGATACCGTATGGGCGGAATAGGAAGATTGAGTATGAGGCGTGGGTTAAGGCGGTCGCTGAGGGCGCCGATGACAAGTCCCCGCGGTGGAGGCATACGCTTCTGCTGGGCGGAATCTTGATGGGGTTCGAGGGACAAAACAGACGGGGCTTACCACGGCATATTCGGGTGAAACTTGAGTCGGCGCTTGCGAGAGCGGCGCAATTAGCGCTAGAGGAGCTTGGCCCTGAGAGTGGAATTGATGGACAGTGCATCACAATGGTCTTGAACTACACTTTTGAGCTTCTATCCGACCTAGAGAGAAGCAAGTTGGATTATGATCGCTTATTACCGGCGATTATTCAGTCGGCATACTTGTCTGCGGAGGGCCTCGAGGGTGGCTATTTCTTAGGATCTATTGATCAAGATGTTGTTGAAGCTCCCGGAAAACAGTTTCGCTGGTCGGCCAACTCCCCCACGTTTGGTATTGTCTCGGCGGTAGCTGCTCGTCCCCTTGTGTCCACCCTGGGGCCATTGTCTCGTCTTATCGCGCATTCTATTGATAATGTTCGGGACCCGAGAATTGTTGCGCAGACTGTTGATTACCTGGCGGGCTTCGTTCGGACGCTCATGGTTCAATGGCGGCAGAATAAATTGTCAGAGATCGATGTTGCGGAAGAAGCAGAGTTCCTAGATGCTGAATCCCGGGAGATCACACTTCCTGCCCTCTGGAAGATGTTGCGAAATTGCTTATATTCGGTGGTTATTGCCCTCCGGGCTGTGCTGGGGAGAACTATTAATGATCCGGCTCTTGCTGCCAACAGTAGTACGTTACAGACGAGTCGTGGATGTTTGTTCTTTACTAACTATGCCACTTCCAGGTGCCCCATACCTATCGATGCAATGTCTCCATATACTTCGCAATATGTACTTCATCTCTTCTCGGATTGGCCAAAATGCCTCATCGCAGCAGACCTTCGTGATGTTGGCAGCTATAGACATCCTTTCACAATACCCCGTTCTTGCCGAGAACTTCCTGCGAAGCATTAAGCCAAGCGAGATTGGACAGATCCCTGGTCACCCGGTTGAACGATGTCTGGATCTTTTCTTCTTGAATGCGGCAGAGCATTTCCCTCTCGTCTTACCCTCAGAGACGAACGAGGAACTATTATTGTCTGCCGCTTTCCCATATCTCGCAGCTGGTGCTAACAGTCTTCTGTTGGAGATTTTCGAAGCTGCTCACAGCCTGGTGCTTGTTGTCTTCGCTATTCCCCACAACTCGGAATTAGCTACTAAACACCTGCCTTTCTATATTGAAAATCTTTTTGCGGTGAGTTTTATCCCGGCTATTATACGAAAGTTGGTTCTAATCGTCTACAGGTCTTCCCCAATAACCTTTCCGCGCGCCAATTCCGTCTTGCTTTTAAGACTGTCATCCAAATTACAGCGCCTCCTTCTCCCCTGGCAAATACTCAGCCTCTTCTCCCCTCTGTCCTGCTGGAAGTTGTTCACGACCGTGCTTTGAACGCTTCCTCCACACCGATCCCTCCACAGGGTCCAAATCCAGACATGAGCCAGAGTCTACCTCTTTCCGAACAGGCTGTCCTGACCCTTGCTCTCCTCGATTCACTTTCATTCCTCCGAGTCGAACATCTGAAAGAATGGCTCCCCCTAGCAGCACAATTGATCAACACGATTTCTGACCGCAATATGCGACATGCTTGTATCGATCGTTTCTGGGAAGCCCTAGCTGGTGGTGAGATGGATGTTGATCGATCTCACTGCTGTGTCACGTGGTGGAGCACTGAAGGTGGACGTGAGCTCGTCCTTTTCGGCGCCGAGACCGCCCCGGACGAGTCAGATGAGAGTGGACCTTACATGAGTGGCGCGGTTGGAGGGGTCGCGCCTGAAAGTAAGCTATAACGATGCCAATGTAAATAGCTTACGGGATTGAAGCTACTACGCCTCCGGGCGCGATCACGCCTTATACCATATACAAGACTTCTAATTGACCAAGTCTAGCTCCATACATTTTCACATATACCAGTCGTTTCTTTGAGAACTCGATTCAATATCTTTGATGCTGTAACGTTTTGCAACTAAATCCCCGGGATACCAACCGAGGTAGCTTTTCTGTACTGAACATACTCATCGCCAAAGAAGGAGATCAAGTAAGCTTCTTCGCCTGCAACCGCGTAGACCCGTTAGCAAGAGCTCCAATGTGCAAAAGCCGACAGAGAACTTACGCTTGATCCGGCTCGAGAAGAATCGCCACAACACTAGGGCATATCCGACGAAGCAAACCATATTGCCCAGCACCAGCTGTGTTCCCAGACCCCACCAGAAGAATCCAAAGTAGCTTGGATGCCGGAGATACCGATAAAGACCAGTATTAACCAAAACGTGACCCTCCTGATGCTGACTCTGCACATGGTGATTGAAGTTACTAGCAGCCTGCGCCATGGCGACGGTCCGAATAACCTGTCCGATCAACAGAAGCACAAAGCCTGTGATAAGCAGCAACGAGACCGAGCTTCCGAAAAACGGTTCCGTCACAGTGACCATCCGTCCAGCAGCAGTCTGCCCGGGCCAGAAAAGATGCGACACAATGCCCTCCGCAATGGCGGAGCCGTGCGCAACATTATACGCCCATCCGTTCGATGATAGCAGGAAAGCGGAGACAGTCGCATACGGCGTGTTGTACTGCGCCGTCACGTAGAACTCCAGGAAGTGGAACAGGCTCAGCGAGGCGATGAAGAAGGGCACGCGCCACAGTGGAGTTGGGTATACGGTGCTTAGGAATAACGCCATGCTTGCTGATAGCCCGAGGCTGGTTCCGAGGAGCATTGCGCGAAGCGAGATCCCCGCCAGCGACATCTTACCGTCCGGGTAGATCGAGGTATCGGGACTGGGCGCGTCGGTTGAGGCATCGGAAGAAGAGGAGGATGCGTTGCTATTAGTACGGTTGTGGAATGGAGGTCCAGCTGGTGAGGTGTGTTTGGGAATGTGCGTGAAGCTCGGGGCTTGGTTTGGCTCTGCGCCGGAAGTTGTTGCGGATGCGTTGGAGAACATTGTCAAAGAAATGGGGGGTGTGGAGGAAAGAGACTTCTTTTGTTTATTCGGTTCTAGGATCGAGCATTTCGAGGGAATTGGTGGGATTTAAATAGTGTGGTGAGAGTTGGTTTTTCATTGTCTGAGAACAATCTGAAGAGGGTTGTATTGTTTTGCATCGGCACCCGCGGACCTTTCCCCCGACATGACAGTGGACATTCCCGGGCCCACATGGCCCTTGGCTCTGGGGCTCTCAGATATCTATGTTGCGTGACTACGTATGTACTTTGTCCGCTGACTTAGCGATTCAGTTTCTGTATGCAATAGCTATAGACAGCCATGTCGCAGCCTACTGAGAAAGAGAAGATGCTTCGCGGGGAGCTCTACCGAGCATTCACGCCGGAATTGAGCGCTGCTCGTTCGCGCTGCAAGTGGGCCTGCAATCGGTTCAATAAGTCGGACGAAGTGCCTCGTCGGCGTCTTGTTGAAATGTGGAGAGAGTGAGTGATGCGGTCAAGCTGAGGCTTGGGTTTATTTCAACCTAGAAACATGCTATTAATATTCTGTACTAAACCATCAAATAGTATCACTGACGACAAGACTCCTCTGCCACCAAAGCTGGATGACCCCGCAGCTGACGAAGCTCTCTTCAAGGATGAACCCTTGGTTGAATCTCCTGTCCATATAGACTATGGGTTCAACGTCAAGCTTGGAGAGGGTGTCTTTGTCAACTTTAACTGTGTCTTCATCGACACCTGTCCTATCACAGTCGGGGCCCGCACTTTATTTGGTCCCAATGTTAGCTTGTTCTCTGGAACACATCCGCTTGATCCTGCCCTACGCAATGGCACTGAAGGTCCTGAGACTGGCAAGCCGATTGTTATCGGGGAGGACTGCTGGCTTGGCGGCAATGTGACTGTACTTCCGGGCGTCACTATTGGCAGAGGTGCGACTATTGGAGCTGGGAGTGTGGTTACGAAGGTACTGTGCGCACCTTCTCATAGCTTGATTGTACAATCACGCTGACTTTAGCTTCAGGATGTGCCCGCTTTTCATGTGGCTGCTGGGAACCCAGCCAAGATCATTCGTCGGATTGAAACGACAATGAAAGAGTGAGTGGCCTCATGTTATTCAATGAGTGGTAGATATTAGGCAGGTATAGACCTTCCTAGTCACTTTCATCTATGGGATATTGGAGGGATCAATGAAACTGCGCCTATGTTACATGGACGTCATGCACGCCTAGTCCAGACAACGATATAGATAATAAATAACAAGAACTTCTAGAACTTTTGACAAACTGAACAGAGTTAATTAGGCAATAGAGAATGCCAAGAGTCCAGACTCGATGCATAAGACCGCATAAGGGGCAGTGCATTTTTGGCGCTTTATATTATAGCTGGAGTAGAGTAGATAGGCAGTCACATTTGCTACAAACTTCACAGTAAATATAGCTATGCATTATTTTTCTCCTTTATGTGAATGCAATAGGCAATGTGCAATGCAAATATGCGATAGTAAATCCCCAGATTGGTGTGTCTTTGTTAAGAGAGATCGTCCTGTTCTCTCTCCACAGAACAACGTCACTGGTCCTGGCGCGTCCCCAAAAAAAGCTGTCGACCGCTTTATCTTCTCTGAGGCATTGACTTTACTTCTCTCCCACTCAATCCTTTTCTTGAACTCACAACCCGGATTCTATTCAACCTTAATTCTAGCATTACCTTCATTTCACGCGTGGTTTCTACTATCCTGAACCTACTACGCGCGGAAAATGACATGGCTGTACCCCCGCCGGATAGCTCTAACACCCCACCTCACACTCCCTTGATCGAAGGATCTCCATTCATCAGCGACTCCATGGAGGATCTTGATCCTCAGGCGACCCGGAAGCGTCCGCGTCTCGACAGTGGAAGTCGCGTCAGTCCGACCTTGTCGTTGGATGGAACCTCGTGTACTGCCTCCATCGCACCTGCCTCAGACATGGATGAGGCCCCGGATTCTGGAAGTCCAGCTAACAAAGTTACCATTAACACAAAATCTCATTTATCTCCCATGGCTCGTGACCTCCCTCCCTCCGACCCTGAGCTCTCCGGTAGCGAACTGGAGCTCCAACCAGATACCGATACAGCTCCCAAACCCATTTCACTTTCCTCCTCACCCTCCTCACCCCGAAGTCCTGAAATCGAAGTAGCTGAACCGGAAGACATTAATCAAGATCCGAACACCTCAAACTGGAAGTCACTGGGCCAAGTCGTGCGGGATCAGGATGAGCCCGAGGTGATAGAGATCCAAGACGTGGCTCCTCTTTCCGAATCGTTCCCCAAAGTACACACCGAGATGACACCCCGAGAGAACTTTAAGGCGATTGGTGATATGCTTGAACATGGTAAGATGGGACTCCGCTCAACGAGACTTGGCCACATACTAATTTAGCGAATAGGGCACCCACGCGAAGGCACGGCGCTTGTTACAATAAAACAATGGCTTCACACCTGTGCGCGCGATCTTGGTCGGCTCACAATCGAGGAATTTGCGTCAGATCTAGATTTCTGGGAATATTTGCCCTCCGTCCTGGACCGTCTTCTGCGCAGGCAACAAGACCTGCAATTGGATGGGATTGAAGATCTCTCAGGCTTCTTCGAGCAATACCTTCTCGATTACGCTCGCATTGTCCTTCATCTTGTTCGATTAGACATCGCACTTCTCAGTGCTGTTGACGAAGATGATGAAGACATCGAAATGCCTCCAAGCACCTGTCGACGATATCTTCATAGCTTCCCTTGGATGTTCCATGGCGACCAAATTCCCTTCCTACGAGTCCTAGAAAACCAGTCCCGAACTGTAGATCTCAATATTTCTGCTCGACTGAAAGCTCAGGTCTCAGCCCCTCCGTTTGATGCCATCGATACACTCGTCCAATACGCTTCGCGCCTGCTTGCATTGCTTCCCAAGTGTCCGCAAACAGTCACCATGCTTTCAAGCCCTTTGGTTAACATACTCGCATTATTTGAATGCGACACGGAGACGAACCAAAATGGCGGTTCTGATTCTCCCATTGACCTGCCTATCGATTCAACCAGCCTTCAGCCTTTCTACGAAACGGTTCGAGGAATTGACAAAGTATACAACACATTTGTCGAAAAGAAGTCGCAAATAGCCACTAGTGACTTGAGCGATAGCATTCTGAGCCCAGTCTTCCGCAGCTACCGTTTCCTTTGCTTTGGTTACTCGGAATTTTTGCTCCAACTTGCCCAGGAACTGTCGATTCAAGTACCCGAGGAGGCGGATGCAGAGCAAGCCGCTTTGTGTGTTATTTGGACGTGGAAGTTCGGTACCTTGAAAAAGCAAATCATGGAAGGTCGAATGGAGCTTCGTGTGCACGGCGTGGAAATGATGCAATCAGACCTGGTCAGCATCTGGGGTCAAAATGTATCCCAAAACCGCGATGGAATCGAGTCGCCATTCCTGAAATACTTGGTTGATTATCTGCGGGAAAACAAGATCCTCGATTATCTTGTGGGCATTGACTCACACCCACAGTTGATCAGCCGCAGCAGTAACATCTTTGGATTTTTGATCGTGACATCGAAATACACCGACCATGACACGGATGTCATCTGGAGAACCGTCACCGAGAGCCAAGATGATCGCACTGTCTGTGAGGTCATGTCTATGCTCGCACGAACCTTTGCCATGCATCAGTCGAGGTCTAAAGCATTGCTCTATGTGTGCTCAAAATTGCTTGAGTTTCCCTTGGATCGCTTTGACAGTCGCATAATCGATTTCTGTGAGCAGCTTGTGCCTCGTATGCGTGAACGGCACTTGGATCGCGATCGGGATTATCGCAACATGTCCGGCGAGGAGAATATCGATTCTATTCCACTGAAGCTCTGCATCCGCCTAATCCGTGAGAGCTCGGGGGCGAAGGATCTGCCTCTGGAACAAAAGGAACTTATGCAGGGATTCGGAAGCGAGCAGCTGGGACAGTTCATCAAGGCTGGACTCAACGAAACCGACATGGCAGAGACGTATGAGCGCTGCATTCAAGACATTGGAGAGATGAACGAATGCACTGCGGGCAGCATCCAAGTGCTGAACGCACTGGTACCGCGTGATGACGCACGAGAGCTTTGGAAACTTGCGACCGACTTCGACTTGACGCGCTTGGTGATAGTCGAGCTTCACCATCTCGTTACTCAAGACCACGCTAAGCTCGAGGATCCATCCTCCAAGCATGGCTTTTCCTCGCGGGTGGAAATCCTGCGGCGTCTTATTGATCTGGCCCCGGAAACCATCACACCTGATCTCGGGAACACACTCTGGAAGGAGATTTTCATGTCCGAGAACCTGGCTTCAGAAGAGCGTCAGACGATTTGGAAAATGATGGTCGATCTCACCAACCGTACCACCAAAGAGAACCCGTTTCTTGAGCTATGCATCCATAAGTACCTACCAGACGTGCTTCCCAAGGACTACTCGCGCGAGGTATTATGGTTTGCTCAACAGTCTGTCCACTACGAGATTCGAATCAAGTCGCCTCCCATTGTCGGGGAAAATGAAGTCATATCTATTCCTGGAATGGATCGAATCTGGAACTTCATACTGACGGCACCTCCACAATCGATCGAAGCCGAGGCCATCAAGTTCGCCATCGACAGCTACCTGGACCACGGTATTGTGCGCAGATCCCCCCGATCGGCTATCGATGCTACTCATATTGCTCTTGTCGATCGCTGCGTGGACCAGCTGAAGTCTGCCGCTGTCGCGTTGAAACCGTCTTACCATACAACAACCAATGACGACGTTTCTATGGATATAGACAGTTCCAATAGCGACACTGGAACCGATGAACTTATGTTTAGCCGGTCTCTACTGTTCCTTCGTCAATTACTCCATGGATTGCGAACCCGGCCACAATACAGCTCCCCTCGTGGCTCTCCACCTACTCTCCCGGAACGTCCGCTGAAAGGCGAGCCCATTGAATTTCGATATCAATGTTTCAATGGCGCTTCCATGTCCAA